TGGAAGAAAAAAATGCCTTTTAGTAACCACTTCCACAATGGAAATTCTCTTTCATTCTCTTCCATTTAATCATAAACGTAACACACACACGCACACACACACACATCAATATGTTCAGGTGTATGATTCTTTTAAATTGAAGGGACAAATATCCATCCGGTTTCTTTTGGTCACTCAGAAACTATACTCATAAGCTGAATTATGTTCCCCCAAAATTCATGTGGAAGCCCTAAATCCCATGTGTTTGGAAACAGCACCATTTTAGAGATATTTAAGATAAAATAAGGTCATACAGGTGGGACCCTAATCCAATAAGATGGGTGTCTGTATAAGAAGAGAAAAAGACACCATGGAGGTGAAGTACAGAGAAAAGGCCATCTGCAAGCCCCAAGACAGACCCCAGGAGAAACTCATCCTGCTGGCATCTAGATGTTGGACACCTTACCTCCAGAACTCTAAGAAGATAAGTTTCTGGGTTTCAAATACCCAGTGTTGGTGTTCAGTTGTGGCAGCCCAAGCAACTAATACCCTTATCACTCCTTTATTCTCAGTTCACTCAATCCAAAATTGGAAGTTAAGGAAAAGCTGAATAATGCAGGTCCAAAGCCAATGAAAGCCAATGAGATGGAGCAGAACAAAACAGGCTCTGCACGCATTCGCGCAGGGAGGATGCAGGGAGGGGATTCAGAGTACATCCTTGGGGAAGAGTGCAGGATGAGGACACTGGGGAGGAACCATCAAATAGGTAAATATATTGAGGTGGTGGAACAAACTCATAAGACACATCCTGGGAGGTGATGTAAACGATAATTTCTTACTGGGGGGAGCCCACTGGGCTTCAAGACACTCCCTTTTTTGAGCTCTGTTCTCTGCAGCCTCAGAATGGTTACAGATGCTGTTACCTGTGTGGAACAACCCTATTTAACCTACAGGTCTCAGCTTAAATATCACCTTCTCAGGGGGGCTGTCCCTGACTTTCAACCTAAGTTAGATCCTGGCTGTAACTCTCGGAGCATGCTGCTGGTAATATATATTTGTGTTCATTTGCTAATGTCCACCTCCACCATCAGACTGAGCACCCAGTAGAGGCAGGATCAGGACCAGCCTTGCTCATGCCTGCTTCCTAAGCCCAGCAGACTAGCTGTCCTTTGGAGACCCTCCAGATGCTATTGCAGAATGAATGGAAAAAAAAAAAAAAATCAGAAAGACTTCAAGTGAACCCAGCAGAACAGAATTAGAACAAAAACATTTCCTAAACCTGGATCACTCCTGGGCATTGTGTGGTTAGCTGTGACAGAAGAGAGGACAAGGGATTCAGTTCATTTTTGGAGCCTGGGAACTTTGTAAACCCACTAAAAGCAGGGGCCTCTGGTTAAAAAGTAATCATTGAGCACATAATAAACAACTCCAGGGAAGGTGAGCTTATTTATAAGGTCCTTGCAAGAAACAAGGACACATCTACTAACTGCCTGGGATTTGGGAAGTTCTAAAATAGCACATGCAAGAGTGGGACAAGACGTAAACGTCAGGCAGGCACCTGTGTGAGAAGGGCTTGGAGAGCTTTCACTCAGAGCCACTGGCTTCAAAGCTACTGTAACACTTAACTTTCAAGGCCCTGTCTGCACAGGGACATTGTTGGGTTTTCTCACTTCTGAGGAGCACCAGGCCACTTGTGTCCAAGAAAAAATAATTTTTAAAATTATGTATGTGTGTGTGTGTATGTGTGTGTCCCCAGTTTATGTATTTCAAAAAGTTAATTAAATAAATTGAAAGTTAATTAAATAAATGGAAAAGGGTAAGTTCACTAATGTACAGAAGGAAAATACAGGGAAAACAAAAGAGAGCAGGATGCTGACAAACAAAATTATTAGAAATATGATCAAAAGGTCCTTGGGACTGGGATACAGCTCAGTGGTACAGCATTTGGCTAGCAGATACAGGGTCACTGGTTCTATCCCCAGCACCACAAAATAAATAAATAAAATCCTTGAGACTGATTATCTTACTCCAGGATATAATGCACATCTCCCAACCACAGAGAGAGAAAAACCATTTTGGGATTGATTGTGGAATTCACCAACATTCCACTCCAGCCTTGAATTTTCAGCCAAATCTGCTATTCAGCTTGCTTCTGGAAGGCTGGATAGGCAAATGCCTGCTTCAACACCATTGTGTGCATCCTGTACCTGCATGTGACCAGTAGTCCTGGCAGTGTGTGTGATTCTGTCACATCTGATCAGCATCATGACCTCAGAAACACAAACAAGCCACATCATCTGGATTTACTACTAAAATGTGAACATGCAGTTTACCTAACAGTGACGGTTTATTCCCGCATTATACTGTCAGGCTTTTAAATCTTGATGACTAACATGTCAAATATTAAAATTGTGAAAATGTAAGGCTCTGATAAATTTCAGATTTTTTTTCTCTTTCTTTTTTTTGCAGTGCTGGGGATCAAACTCAGGGCTTCCCACATGGTAGGCAAGAGCTCTACTAGTGAACTACACCACCAGCCCTAGATTTATTCTTACATCTTTTTATTTTTAAGAGAGAGAGAGAGAATTTTAATATTTATTTTTTTTTTAGTTTTTGGCGGACACAACATCTTTGTTTGTATGTGGTGCTGAGGATCGAACCCGGGCCGCAAGCATGCCAGGCAAGCGCGCTACCGCTTGAGCCACATCCCCAGCCCTATTCTTACATCTTTTTAATGTAAAAAGTGTGGTGTTGGGGATTGAGCCCTAGACCTCAAGCACTCCACACAAGCACTCTACAACCAAGCTGCATTATATCTTTTCATTTTTTTTTTTGAAATTGGTTTAATTTTTTTGTTTTAATTAGTTATATATGTATTCTTATATCTTAAAGGTTCACTCAATGATGGTGATATTTGGATTCAGCCTTATATTGATATGCTGATATTCAGCCAATATATGTATCTTGAATGTTAATTAGCATGCTAATTAGCATCCTATAAAACACTCATATTCATAGGCAACTATGATATATTGGGAAATTGTCATATTTCCGAAACAAACTCTGAGCTCTGATATCTTCTACTTCCACAAGAATTCAAGCCCCAAAAGGAACATTTTTATTTTCTAGCTACACTTGACCCAAAATCTATGAATCAGGGGATTTTTCTCCTTTACTGTCCTCCCTCACTCCCAAAATAACATCACTCCCAAAATAACACCTCCTTCCTCCCAGACCACTGCCGTTCAACCTCCCTGACTCCTTAGTAAGATGACAGAGTCCAAGGCCCTCTTCTGTGGGTGAGCAGAAAAAGGAATGTCAGATAGTCAAAGGTCCCTCGTGGAAAACACAGAGGCCCACACAGGAGACAATGACTCAGAGCCCAATCAGGTGAGTCATCTGGGGGCACAACTGCTGACCACAAAGGTCCCTAGAACAAAATTGTGCCCCTCACCATCACCAAGTCCCACCACTGCTGGGGAGGCTAAGCCAGCACAGGGTTGTGCACAGGGGCAGATGAGTACTGAGGAGCCAGCATATCACAGCTTACTCTCTCAAGCTGCTAAAATAAATGGTGTCATTTGCTAACCTCCAGCTGTGGCTCATGACAAGAAGAATAATTCATTTTACTGAGCTTTAGGTTAATGCAGAGATCTGGTCTAGCTGTCTGGGGAAAGACTCCTCTAGTTAGCTAATGTTTTCCTCTGCCTTCCCCAGGGAAGGAAGATAAAGTGAACCTTCCCACCTGTTTTTCCCAAGAAGCACCTGTATTTTCCAGCTGTTTACTGTAGTGGCTAATAAGGAAAAAAAATTAAAGAAATAGTGGCAAAAAAGACACAATGGTAACAAGGCTGGAGTCATGATTAATGTTCCAGTAAGAAGTACCCAGAGATGCGGTCAGTTAGAAGGTGTCAAGAAGTCAGGAGACATGATAATGGAGGTGAGGCTGGACTTCAGACACTGCAGCTCCGCCACCACAGTGAACCAGCCAGCACCTCGCCCCAGTGTCTGGAGAATGTCAAAGTGTTCTATCACTAAGAGAAAATGATGACCACACACAGTTTCAGACTCCTGATCACTTCTGCTGGATGGAAATATAATCCAGGAAAAAATTTGTGACTGAAAGAGAAATAGTAATAAAGGGATGAAATAACTTCATGAAATTCTAGTGTGAGACATTACAAAATACTGGGAAAAAAGAGAAAATAAAGGTTCAAATTTTTTAAATTCTTCTAATTCCCTTTTGGAATATCTGACTCCACAAGGCATAGAAGACTTCAACTGTTAAGCTCCAAGAAAAACAAAAAGCATTGTATTTCTAGTTTGAACTTCATCCTTGTCATCTGCTGCACTGGGACCAGAAGCTCAAACTTCTCAAAATAATAAGAAGTTAGAGTAGAGCTGGGGATATAGCTCAGTGGTAGAGCATTTGCTTGGCATGTGTAAGGCCCTAGGTTCAATCCCCAGCACTGCAAAATAGTACGATAATAATAATTTACATCAGGAGCTGGGGTTGTGGCTCAGTGGTAGAGTGCTCGCCTGACATGCATGAGACACTGGATTCAATTCTCAGCACCTCATAAAAATAAAATAAAGATATTGTGTCCACCTAAGACTAAAAAATAAATATTTAAGAAATAATAATAATTTACACCAAAGGAATCTATTCTGTGCCACTCACAACTCTCTATCTGCTTCAAAGTACAATAGGAAAAGGAGAAACTTGACAGTCCTCATCTAAGCAAAGCTACAGGCCACAACTATCAAAAACCTGAACTCCACTGCCCATCTTCAGAACTCAGAGGTCAGGCTTTGGGGGCATCCCTACCTAACACCTGGTGGCTCAGTCCAAGTGGAGCATCTCTTTAGCATCCTAGAAAGAGGCAGGAGTTGGGTCACAAGCACACCCAGGTAGCCATGAGGTCAAGAAATACTAGCCTAGCAGCAGATGAGGAGGAAAGACAAAAGGCTCCCACACGGTAGTGCTCTCCCAGACCCTCAAACTCCTACCCACAGCTTACCTTGGTACAAGGTGGTTGAACTTGTAAGAACTGAAGACCTCTTGGATCTTTTCTTCTACTTTGGCCTGGAAAGGATGTAGGACAGGAGAGAGAGAGAGAGAGAGAGAGAAAAAAACAAATACAGATGAGACTGTTACTGGAGTCCTCAGCCAAAGCCCTGACCCAGGGGTCTTAATAGACCAGCCCTGGTCACCCAATGCCTAGAGTTTAATTGACAGAGAGATAAAGATATTGGTGAAGCAAGTAAGGAATTTATTCTCAGTTTGGCCAGATTATTCTAGAAAACTCTCTTCCCCATTCAGACAACAGCTCTCTGATTATACAGGGAAAGGGCAAAAGCAGGGAGCCAAGAGGAGTGCCTATGACTGCAACTCTGGCCAGGCTGTGGGGTGCCAGGAGCTGAGAAGCACAATGTACACACACTGCAGTTCTGGTTCTGCAGGTCCAACTTGCACCAGGGCTTGGGGGGCAGTTTCTGCTCCCAGCATGAGATGAAGCTGGGAAGGCAAAAGCAACTGAAAGAGAGCAGGTTAGACTGGGTCTTTCCTGAAATCTCCCAATTGTAAAGACACCTCTATTACAAGACAACTATGAATTTGAGCTGTCCACAAATGGCCGCAAATCCTATCAGCTGGAGTTGTTCACTGGTGGTTTGTTTTTGTTTTTGTCCCCCATTGGGGTTTTAGATGGCACAGTGTTTGTAACTGGATTCAGAGGTTCTTCAGGATTGACAGGCTTAGGACAAACAGAAAGACAGCCAATCTCCTGTGACATGCTGGCACCACATCAATTCCTCCAGTAATCTAATCCATTTTAGCCAAACTAATGGCAGTTTTGGTGTTGGCTTCCTGGCACCATTCACTCAGGAGCAGATGAAGAGAGGCACCTACCTTTTGCTTCTGCAGGACACTAGACTATGCTACCCCAAAATATGCCTCAGTGACACAAGGACTGTTTCAAACTGATTATTTTAAGGAATTGCAGATATAGAAGAACCTCTGAATACAGTGTAGAGAATACCAATTTATATGGGAAATAAATGTCCACAAAAGAGGCCACCATTTGTAAAGGTGAGGTTTCTCCTGGGGTGCCAGAAGAGAAAAAAGAATAAAATACAAGAAACTAATCAATGCAGAAGGCAGCCCACTTAAATCTGCATGACAAATCTTCCTCTTGCTTACTTTTCCTAGCTCCCCTACACTCTTCTTTTTTTTTCGTGGAAAAAGCTCTATAAACGTGGAGACCCCTTCTCTGAGTTACTCATTTATCCATGGTTTTCTACCATATATACATGACATATATGTTAATAAACCTGTTTGTTTTCCTTTTGTTAATCCTCCCTCTGTTATAGGGAGTTCCAGCCGAGAACTCAGAAGGGTAGAGGACACGACTGTTTTCTTCCCCTACACTTCAAAAGTATGTTCTTGGTGTGCATGTATATGAGGTACTGGGGATGGAACCCAGGGCCTTACACTCAGCTACATCCCCAGCCCTCCCTGAGAAATTTAAAAATAAGTGTCATTTATCTCTGAAACATCCAGTTGAGTCAGAGCTTCCAGTCCCTTTGACAAGTGCACAAAAACTATTTGTGATGATGAGGGAAGCCGTGATGTGAATCTTCTAGAATGGCAGCCAATTTAAAACGCACTTATGTTTGGTTTTATGATATGCTTTTGGTATTTACACTTGAAGATGAATTTGAGGGATGATCTGGTTATGAATTCATAATCTCAAGAAACAGACTGAAGCCACCCTGAGAACCTGCCTGGGCAGGAATAGAAAGTTGTCCAAGATTATAAAGAATCTTTTTCCATTTCAGACACTCTCAGGGGACTAATATATAGCACCAGACTAAATGGAACACAGACGGTATTTGCAGGAAACTGAATGGGACAGGAAAATATAACAGAAGCATATATCTGTAAGAACCTTATATGAAGATCTGCCTAGGATATATTGTCAAATCCAAGTGAGTTGATGAATTCTGAATGAAACAAAACCAACTGGGAAAAAATCTCACTTCCTTCACCCACACAAACCTATTCAAATCTGTATGACTTAATACTATTCAAGGGCTAATGGGCAAATCTACCTTCTCCTTAGCATTCTGACACATCCCTTGGGAAAAACCTTCCAGACCAGAATTCCTTAAAGAGAAGTCCCTCTTCAGCTTCCACTTGGGCAACACGAGCAGCCATGCACTAGACAAGGAAAATGGGGGCTTATTTCTAAACTAATATACCTGACAAAAAATGTGGAAATGTGTCCTACTGCAATCTGGAAAATGCTAAAAATACTCCCAATGTAGTGTCATTTCTCTTTAGACTTCTTAATCACACTTCTTCAGAATGAACAACTTGCATTCCAATGCAGTAACTGACTCATGCTGAAAATTCAAGTTATGAATTTTAATAAACACCTGTGTATGAACAGGTCAAGCTGTACATAAAAATGAACAAATATTGTCTCTTAGCACTGATGTATTTTTGACAGCTTTATTGAGATATAATTAATATACCATTCAGTTCATTCATTTAAACTATATGACTCAATGACTTTTAGAAATTTTAGAACTGAGATGATGCTCAAAGAGTTTTAGATTTTGGAGCATTTCATATTTGGGATTTTCAGTTAGGGATGCTCAACCTGGAAAAATCTATGCAAATATTTCAAAACCTGAAAAACTCTAAACTCTGAAATACTTCTAGTCCTAAGCATTTCAGGTAGTGGATATTCAACTGTATTCTTTTGCAAGTAATATTCTGTTTCATGGATATAGCAGCACATTTCACTTATTAATTTATTAGTTGATGGACAGTTGGGCTCTTTCTGTTACTGGAGACCTAGGCCAGAGGCCTGATTCTGGGTGTTCAAACAAATCAAGTCCTGCCACTCACCCCAAAAAACAGATGTAAAAAGTAATTGTGAAAAGCAGGAAAGGAACTTTATAATCAATAGGTCATATTGGGAAGAGGAGTCAAATCAAACATCTCAGCTTTGTCATTGAGGGTTCTGACATGAACTTCAGGATTTCACACAGGAAGTAACTGGGGCAGGAGCAAGAGATATGCATAATTAAGTAGTCTTGGTCAAGCTAGGGTCTGGTTACTATCTCAGTTCCAGTCCTGGGAAGTGGTTCCAGAGAAGTCTTATTGCTTGAGGGGGCAATCCTGTTCCCATTCTGAGATGATTGTTCCCACTTGGGGGACAGCCTCAGTTCCTGTCATGGGGTAATTGCTCTCACTTGGGGGTATGAGCTCATCATACAGTGATCTGCCTGAGAGGTTCTGCTGTTCCTGGAATCCAAGATAACTGCAAGTTTAGATCAATGACTAGAGACTTCAGAGCACTGAACCAGGGGGTCTGGAACAGGATATTTATTGTAAAAGCTGGAGTTGTCTCAACAAGTCTTGAAAATACCTTAACTACTCTCATCTTGGTATCCTCATCTTGAAGGAGAATAAGGTAGATAAGGTAAATTTAGGGCAAATAAACCTTGTATTACCATTTTTTCTTGTTTTGTTTTGTTGTTTTTTTGACAGATAACTCCATAAGTGATTAACTTATCTACACACAGAGGAGAGCAGGAATCTGGCCCAAAGCTTAAGGTAATAAAGGAGAAAGATACAATATAAAGGCAGATGTATAGTGGGGGAGCATGGGAAGAATGGAGGAAATTTGGATTGGGCAAAAGGGAGGAAGGGGAGAGGAGAGGGCATGGGGGGTAGGAAAGATGGTGGTATGAGATGGTCATCATTACCCTAGGTACATGTACTACTGCATAAATGGCGCAAATCTACATCATATACAACTAGAGAAATGAAAAGTCGTGCTCCATTTGTGTACAATGAATTGAAAGGCATTCTGTTATTATAGAACTAATTAGAACAAATAAAAAAATAAGATAAATAAAGGCAGAGATGTCAATTTTTCCTACATTTAACTATTCATTGGGCCCAACTGAAGAGTCAAGAGTCAGTGCTTATTAGCAAAAGCAGCCCTAATTTCCTGATACATTTCCATATTTTAGCTAATATGAAATATGCATTATGAACTGTTGTGGCTCAGAACATGACATTCCCAAAGTACGGCAATTTGGCAAGCAGAGTACTTTAAACTTTAGAACATTAGAAAGGCCTCAGAAGCAAGTTCTGCCCCACCTTCTATTGCCTTCCTATTTTGTCCTCCCTCCTTCCCCTGAAACAAGTCACAGAAACCAGAATTCCAAAGATTGTCATAAAAATTAAAATTCCTTTCCCCCAATGCAAGCCATAAGAAAGTCATACTCTTTCCCTTTTCTTATCCCTTGAAGACCCTCATTTTGGAGAGATCCTAGCCCATACCTAGGAGGAAGGAATATTACAGACAGGACAAGAAGAATGTGGATGGGCTTTGCAGTCTGTTACCATCAGATTATATCCAATCACATTTCTATATGGCTGCCCATTTTTTAACAATCCTAAGCATTCAGATACAATTTTCCTGGGTCTTTGGGTCTTCATTTCTGAAGGCTCTTATGTCACACAAAACTTAGATTAAACAAATTTGTCATGCCTTTCTCTTGCTAACCTGTCTTCTGGGCCAGGAATGTCAGCTGTGGGCCTTCTGATGAGAAAGTAAAGGAATTTTATGGTTGCTACCCCTACAGAACTTTCTTGTAGAAGTTTTTGGGGGACATATTTTTCATTTTTCTTGGGCATATATCTAGGAGCAGAATTGCTGGATCTTGTGGTAATTCTACATTTAACTCCTGAGGAACTGCCAGGGTGCTTTCCAAAGCACCTATACCTTTTTATATTCCCACCAGCAGTATATAAAGCTTCCAGTTTCTTTGCAGCCTAACCCATAGTTGTTATTATCTGTGTTTTGATGTTGGTTTTGACTTGCAATGCCCTGATGGCTAATTATGTTAAGGATCTTTACATGGGCTTATTGAACATTTGTATATATATGCTTTAGAGAAATGTCTATTTAGATACTTTGCCCATTTTTAAAAATGGGTGCCTTGTTACTGAATTATAATAGTTCTTTATATATTCTAGATACAGATCTCCTATTAGATATA